TAAGGCAAAAGTCAAAGCAATTGGAAAACTATGGAGAGACTGTGGGGTCAGGACTAAATCCCATATTAACTGGGCAGCTCAGTCTTAGGGAAGAAAAAGGCATGAGTTGGGGTAAGTGAAAACTGCAAGATCAGGGCTAAACCCCCACCTTGTTAAGTAGGGAAGTAAAGTAAGAAATTTATGCTTTATACAGGTACCTAGGGATTCTTGATCAGGTTGGCAATAAAACTTAAACTAAGTCTTTCTGGATAGTAAACAGCAGCTACTAAAAGACCCGCAATTAGAGAGACATCCTATAATTTCGGTAAACAGTTAAAGGGTAGGTGGGTGGGTGGGTGGGTGGATGGATGGATCAGACTTGGCCTGTTCTCAAAATGGGGGTATAAGTAGGTCAGGGGCTTTAGGTGTGAGACATTATGAAAACATAAAATAGGTGATAGCTGACTTAAAAAGAAAAAGCTATTTTTTGCAGAGTGGAGTGATATGGCGTGGGAATAGTTATCTAATGTCACAAATACTAGAAAAGTAATGTTTGCGTGCTGCATGAGGACAGAGTACTAAAAAAGCAGGTGTACTGACAGTGGCTGAAACCAGACTCAACACGGGAGAGCTTGAAGCAACCTTACAATATCCTTTCTACTCTGCCTGAGTGGTCTTCTCCTTTCCTTTCTCTGCCATTTGATTGATGGGGAAATCAAGCCACAGAGAGGGCCAGTGACTTGCTCGATACTGCCCAGCACTGGCTGCACCTTGAGGAGAAGCAGATCTCAACGGAAGCACAATAGTGAGGATATTATGTTCTACCCCAAGGGATATACGCCTGTGTGCAGATTTGCAAGTCTGGAGCGGGAAGTGGGGTATGAGTGATTTAAAATGATGGGGAAACAAAATTGTATTGTACTGTGGAAATGGAACAGAGAATATGAAATGGTTCTGCTCATTCCAAACCCTTATGCAATCTAAACACAAAAGAAAGTACTAATTTCCTGTTTACCGAACTGATTGGGGACTTTTGGCATAGGCCCACGAACCAGACTTCCCATACAATAGGATGCAAAATTTTCAGCTTGTTCCCAACTTGCTTGCTAACAGTTCAGTCACCCAGAAGGTCAAGAGAGTGACTCATGGCTTTGTTGCTCCATACCTATTTCTAACAAACAAAGATAAATTGGTTACGGAATTAAAGATTTCAGGAACTTGGAAGAAACAGTACATGTCACTGCCATGTTTGTGGGAGCTGGGGAGAGTGAAGCATAATCAGGCATGCACCCTAGATTATAGAAAACAGATTTTAGCAGATGTGGGATGGAGGAGGTGGTGATGGGGAATGCCCAAGTTCATGCATCAACTGTGGAAGGGGGGACGATTCTAATATGAAAGTTCTCACAAATGGCCCAGTGGGGAAGAGAAGGTAGTAAGTAGAATAAACCATTGCAGCTACCCAGGATTTCCTTCGATGTGACACAGCTTCAGGATTATATTCCCACAGAAGGCAGGTTAGTGCTCGCCTCTGCAGGGGTGAAGCCACCCGGAGAGAGGGTGAATAGGACTTCTGAGACGCTGGTGCTGTTGGGTGTTCAGATGCGGGTGCTGGTCATCGATGCGTGTTTACCTGTGGAAATTTCAGCAAGCCATGTTTAAGACCGTTAGACTTGTCTACACACATGTTATGCTTCAAATTAATTGTGCAACAATTTTTAAGATTTAATATATTTCCATCAGGACTTATTTTTTAAATGCTTACATTTGCATGATAGTCGTCATAGAAATTGTACTTTCCTCCTTTATTTTCTTAGGCTTACTATCCCGTGTAATTACATAGTCTTATGATCAGCTTTGTTACTGCCACTGTGTGGCTAGGCCACACCCCTCTCTTTATCATGCGTGTAGGGCTGGGCAGATGTGGCACTCTTCCTGGCCACGTTTATAAAAGCACCGGAACCAACACCTCTGAATATAAAGGTGATTCACTGAGAATAGATTCTTGGAGGTAAAGAGATTAGATTGATTATCATTAAAGTCTAGCTGCATAGTTACAAATTACCCCCAACAGTACTGGCCTCATCAAACCCTTGCCCACAGCTCTATTCGACAGTCGTGCACAGAACTGGCAAGTTTTCTAATATGGTATTTGCAAAATCTTTTCCATTTGTAGCAATATAAAGTGGGAGGTCCTTCTGCCCATCCCTAGTCTCTTGGCACCTCTCCCGTTTGACACAGTTTCCCGGTGACGTCATGGTGGCGCTGCAGGGCCATTGCAGGTTTTCATCAGTTCTCTCCCTTTAACCGTCCTGGGCTTCAGTTCACTGACCTTCTAAAGCAAAGCACAAAAATGGAAGCCGAGAGGATTTGAAGAACTTTGCTCTTTCTCCAAACATGAAACCAACCAAACAGAAAAACTAATTTCTTCACTTTTCTCATCTCTTAAAGTTTTAATTCATTTGCCATATAAGCTTTTCTGGCATTACGTTTAGAGAGTTCAACTTGATTTGTATTTTTTTTCAGTCCTTTTCCCTTTTTCCCATCTTCTAAATGTATTCTTTAAATATACCTTTTTCTCAAAACATAGCATGCTTCAAATGCCATATGAACACCTCAAACGAATACTTTATATATTTGAACTTTAATGTGTCATATTCTTTTCACAATTCTACATGTTCCATTTGTGAAAGAAAACAATTATCTATTTTAAAAAGAAACACTCTCAGCATAAAAAAACAGAGAGGAGATGAAGCACTTGTTCCAAAGAACAAGTCGTGCCAACCCAGCCTTCTTAAGCGAGCTCTCGGCCTGATAGGTGGGGGCCGTGCAGCAGAGCATCAAGGTCTGAAGCAGCCTCGACCCTGTTCTCAAGCTTCGTTGTGGGAAAACACAGCATCAGCCTGCGAGTGAAGGAGCAGTTGGGGAGATGAGTCATTAGTTAGGTAACCGACCAAAGGCTCTGATGAGCAGATGAACGCCAAGCTGGGAGAAGGGTTCTGTTCTAGTAGGTGCCACAGAGCTCCACCACTTCGTTTTCTCAGTTACTGCTCCTATTAGTCATCTGAAGTTCCAGTGACTTGCAGATCATGGAGAACGTGATGATAGGCTGTGGTAGTCAGATGAGTCAAAGAAGATGGACGTCAGTAGTGTGCATGACCCTGTACATGGGTTTCAGAGACACAACCACATTTATGTATGTAGAAGCAGGCAGATATGTGTTTGGTGGGGGTTTGCAGGTGGCTGGTACATCCACTGTGATCAGCTAGAAACTGGGATGTTGGCTGTACAAATAGAAGCCCAGTCTGAGTAGGGAAAGTAGAAAATAGTGGCTCTCTGGGTAAGCACGTATTGGCAAGACCTCCTGTGGACTGTTGCTTCATGTTCTAGTCCTTTCTCACTAAGAGGGACAAACCAGAGGACGTCCGAGGATGAGTGGCTAGAATGATTCAAACGCCTTGAACTCTTATCCTATGAGAATTTGTTGAAGAATAAGAATGTTAATCAACTGAAAACGATCTCCCAATATCCAGACATCTTTTCTATGCAAGCAAAGGCAGACTTCCTGTGGTTTGGGGAACAGAATCAAGACCATCAAGGAGTCCAGCTTGGGTTTAATAGCAGTGACAGTTTCCAGCATTCAGAGGCATGTGTATATAACACAGAGTCTGCTGCAGATGTTACCATTTCTTCTCCACTTCTGGGTGCATGGAGGCCTCCAGTAACCTCACTGGAGTCAGGCGTGGCCACCTGCCTGTTTCTAGCCAATGGAAGCTGAGTTAAAGCAAACGTGTTGCTTCAGATGCAAAGTGCTGCATGTAAATCCAGGCTCCCCAACATTCTCTTCTCCTGACTCGGTGAACACTGGAGCCTGTGTTAAAGTGGAGGTACCAGCCTTGGTCTCTGAGTGACTACAATGCTGAGAATCTCCCACACCCACACTACGCTCCCCCAGATCCAGCCACACACCTACATTGGACATGTAGTTTGAATGGAAAATAAGCTTTTACTGTCTCTAGCCACTGAAGTTCATGGTTTTATTATATTTGCATAAGCTTTTCTATCCTGACTAATACAAGTGCCCTCAAGAAGCAATGGTTCCTTATGAGTGAGCATGAGCAAGACAAGCATCGTGTTCCCGAGACTCACCCATTGCATTCTTTGTCTTTTTTTCCACTGCTACACTACATTCAGACTATTACTGCGGACATAACTTAGCAGGAATTTTCAACGTGTCCCAGGACTTCCTGAAAGATGATCCTAATGAAACAGGCTAAACTAGTGATCTTCTGTAACTCGACTTCCTGCCCAGGAACATCACAGATTTATGGATCTCGTCCACGGGGGTAGAGCCAACCATGACTAGATAGTTCACTCTGCAAAGATTCTATTGCCACACAAACACACACAACTGTGAGGTCCACCAGAGATCTCGGGGCCAACGTGATTTTTTTGAACATGAACTTTACAGTTTGATTCTTACACATTCATACCAATGGGGCTATTGCCAAGTGTCTGTTTCAGTCTGTGCATATAGATGCATTATTTACCTATAACAAAGTTTCCCAAGGATGCCCTCGGTGCCAGCCCATTCATGGTTGCTAACCCATGAGTTAATCCATGCTCTTGGTACCATCTGCCAACCCATGGGTTCTCTCAGGAACCCATGCAACTGAATGAAGCTCGCTGCACGCCACAATGTACCCACTTAGTATTATTGTTAAAGCTGTTCACTGCTGGATGGTATCTGGTATGTTTATCAAGTGCTTTTGTCTGGGGAAGAAGCTTAGGGAGTAATGGGAGCCAGGAAGTGAAAGGAACAAAGCTATACCTAGCCTGGAAAGGAATGAAGAAATAGAATTACAAGGTGATTCCAATGAAGCAAAAATGAAAAGAACAAATTTAAAATGATCGTGAAAGATACATATGAATGCATATATATGCAAATATATGTGTATTTCTTTATGCGTCAAACCAAACCCACACCTAGTTAACTAGAGTTTCACTTCTGTCGTTCACAGGAAACAAAGATCAACTGTGTCCGCCTGGCTACGAAAGGTAGGTTGGCGTGTTCTTGTCCGTGTTCAGCCAATCTTTAGTCATTTAGGTAGCTCTCCCTCACACCACATAGGGAGAGCTGAGGTGGCCATCACCGAAAGTAACAGGAAAGAACTGTTATTTTTATTGGAGTCATTTTCATCTAGGTATTAATGCATATCTGACAGTATATATTAATAACACAGCACCTCAAGCAGAGTAAGAGCTCAAAACACATTTGTTGAATCAATGGAGGGATGGATGAATGGATGGGTGGATGGAGTGGTACATTAATCAGTGGTGGCTATAGATTTACTCAAATATTCTCCTGCTATGTATATTTTTATATTTGTTTCTGTTGGAATTTTGGAGCACGTTTATGAAACGTATCTTCTGGGTTATGCACTTGACTCAATTTGCACATGGCTTTCAAAAATAAGGGGATTACTGCCAGTGCCTTTAACAACAAGAAAGGAAATACTGCTTTGTTTTGGACTTGGCATTCCTAACACTCACCCCCAAAACTAAGGCAAAATGGTTCAGGCTCATCACTTTTTGTTTTCCTAATTATAATTGAATTGTGTGGCTCTGTCAACTGGTATATGTGTCTGTTTATTACTCTTTTAAAAAAAAATCAATGAATGCTTTGTTATTTAACCTATTATAAGGTTGAATGGTTAGAAATCAGGTTTACCTTTTTGTTATAGAATTGACATTTTTAATAGCTATCCCTTCCCTATAAACACACCAAAATCAGGCAGCTCTCATTTGCTCCCTGCATTTATTTATAGCATATATAGTTTTATAGATTGCTTCCATGGAGATGACAGTTATAAGTATAAATAGAGTCATAGATACAAAGGATACAGAAAAACAATGACCCTAGTATGTATGTATGCCTATGTGAATATATATACATGCATGCACACACATACGAAGGAAAAGGCACACAAATATGGGGGGAGGCAGGGATACAGATGGGGGGAGAGAGAGAAGAATTACCTATGGTTATTTGGTAAAGCATGCACCAAGTCCTATCATGCACAGCGCTTACAGCCTTGAGGAGCATCAGATCAACAGGTGGGCAGAGCAGGGAGGATGCAGGAGGAAGAAGTTAGAAGCATTAAGGCTCACTGGGACAAGAACGCACCCTGATTCCACATAAGTCCTGAGAGGTCAGCATGTCCCTGACGTGTTCCCTCTCGGGAACTCACGCTACTGGACAGAGAGAAATGAAATAGCTCTCGGGAGGAGGCCGGGAGAATTGACGGCCTGCAAACACAAGCCACAGGCCTTGACAGACCTTCCCAATGAAGCAAGTAGATAACCCAGGAGGAAGGGCACTGGAGAGCCCGTTGAAGAGCCCAGAGCGCTAGACGGCAGGCAGGACAGCAGGCTGGGTGTCTGCGGCATCGGCTCCAACGGGCAGCAGGGAGAGGGAAGGGAGCTTCCACAGACACCTTCACGTGAGGATGCTCCATAGTTCCCCTCTAGCCTTTGACCTCTAGACACGCCCTCCGTGGGGTGTGTGGGATTCTAAGGACACCCTCTGAGACATAAGTCCCCTAATGGGGAGTTTGTTGGGTCCTACCTTCTGAACTAGAGTTGGGAACGTGTGACCAGACAGGCAGTAGGTACATAACAGTAGGGCTTGGAGAGAGTACGTAACACTGTACTTTCCCGGGACGTTCAGGAGCCGCTGTGCATGTGTGCTTCTCCGAAGTGGCCTTGCTGGTCTAGGAGAAGGCAGTGGCCTTTAGAGACCTACCCAGAAGAGCTCTCTGCCTCTCCTCAGAGACCCTTAGGACTCCTCCTCTTGTCTGACTTCCAGGTCACAGTCTGTGTTATTGGAACGTGTGAATCTGTAAGGAGTGAGGGGATAGGAACTCATGAATGAAATGAGGGGATCCCAGCTGGCCAGGCCCTGGCAGAGCTCGGAGGAGTCGGGAGTCCAAAGTGGCTCCAAGCAGCCACACCCGGGTTTTCCAGTTCACCGAGGGCGGGCACTGCAGCCCAGAGAAGTGGGGCTCTGGCAGCCCTTGGGATCGGGGCAGGGAGCTGGTTGGGCAGAATGCCCTCCGAAGCCTATCAGATAAGAGGGCACTGGTGACTGCAGAGCAGAGGCAAGGGAAGGAAGCCTGGGTTTGGTTGGAGTCTGCTCTGTGCCTGGCAGGACTATAGGAGCACCCAGGGTCGATTAAAGGCAGGCAGAGCCCACTAAACCCATGCACTGTGTGTGGGGACTTTGTATCAGGATCCAAGGTCCCAAATCAATATTTGACCCATCCCTTTCCTGAATCAGATTTCCCTCTTAGTGGGTTTACTGAAAACACTATTCTTTTTAATGAAGGAATATACAATACTGGGGACCCCGCAGGCATCGGGAGATGTAAGGTCCCAGTGGCAGATTCACAGGCCATCTGCTTCCTCCACCTCTCTGTCACTGTGGCACCTTCCTCCTGTGTCCGCCGGCAGGTCTCCAGCCCCTGGAATGGGGTCACATGTGCAAGCTTGAGGCCAGTGCTATGGTGACAGCCACTTGCTTATGTTCTGTCCCTGATCGTGGTGACACCAGACAGTGTCTGCTCATCTGTATGAGTGTCACAGAAGGGGGAGGGGCTGTCACTCAGAACAGAGCAGCTCCGAACACTCCTTCGGGGTCGTTCTGACCTGACCCCCAGCCCAGCGCATCTCCTGCTAGGTGCCACACCAGGCTCCAGGGTGACGCTCTCGCCCGTGTCTGTCTGTAATGTCACTGTTGGTCACCCAAGCTCTAGTGCAGTGCTGCCCGCCCAGGTTGGAGGGTTGCAAAGTCAGGGACCTGTGTTAACTTTCTGTGGCTGCTGTACCAAAGCAGCACGGACTGAGTGGCTTAAACAACAGCACTTACTGTCTCCCGGTGCTGGAGGCTGGAAGTCCCACAGGAAGGGTGCGGCATGCGGCATGGTTGGTTCCTCACCTGGGCTGGGAGGGCAGGATCTGGTCCAGGCCTCTCCCCTGGCTTCTGGTGGGGTGCTGGCATCTTTGGGTTCCTTGGCTTGTAGAAGGATCACCCCGATCTGTGCCTTCATGTTCACATGTCATCTCCCTGTGTATCTCTGTGTGCAAAGTTCTGCTTATAAGGACACTCATCATATTGGATTGGGGCCCATCCTACTCCAGTTTTACCTCCTCCTAACTAATTACATCTGCAAGGATCCTGTTCCCAAGTAAGGCCCCATTCTAAGGTCCTGGAGGTTAGGGCTTCAACATGTGAGCCGGGGGTGGGGGGTCACTGTTCACCCACGATAGGAACCGTGGAGCCATGCAGTTAGGGGCAGCGTCTGTGTGGTTCCCATTGGAGCCTCTGACGGCTCCCCATTCACAGCGTCACCCCAGCAGCTTTGAAAGGAATGCAAGAGCAGGACCCAGCCCTGCCAGAGTGGGGTCCAGAGGTGGGGGGAGGTCCAGCTTCGTCTCCTGTTCCCTCCAGAAGCTGGTGAGGCTGCCTCTGGCGGAGGAGCCAGGTCTGTGGCAGCAGGACCCTTCTCAGACCCCACGTGACGGTCTGAGCTGTCCAACAGCTCAGGTGCTGTTGCACCTGATCCCACCGAGGTCCTGGGGACAGACCAGGCTGGGCTTCCTGGGGAAGGGACCAGCACTTCCCTACGAGGGGAGCTCTGGTGAGGGCTGCTCAGTCTAACCACTAACTAACTGCCAACCCCATGTTGCCATGGCAGGGATCCCTGGCACATAGTTGGCTGGAATGAGCAAATGCGTTGGCGTCAGCATCTCCCTGCAGCCAGGCTCAGAGACCTTGAGGGTCTCACTTGATCTTTCCGAAACTCAGTGGGATCATATTCAAAGGGATCCCCATCTACCCATTCCTAGAACCTTTTGAACATACCTACTGCCAGTCAAATGCCGATAAACCTGCTCTTTGTAAAAGAAAAGCCCACATTTGTTGAACTTGTTGATCTGCAGGTGTAAATATCCCTACCAGGTCCAATTTCAAGTTAGAATGGTTTAACAGCTGGCTGGCAAAAAAAGGAAGGAAGGAAGAAGGGAGAGAGGGAGAGAGGGAAGGAAGAGAGAGGAAGGAAGGAAGGAAGAGGGGAAGGAAGGAAGGACCAGCGTGTTTAACAACCAGCTCTAGCCAGCTGGAGCGAGCCAGCTCCAGAGCACCAAGACCTCTGCCACCCAGTTTGTTATGAGGATCAAACACTATGTATAAACATGAAAGTGTTTTATTTACTCCATGTGAGCCAGGTATCCTAAAAAAAAAAAAAAACTGAGGATTTCATGGTTCCTGTCCTCAACAGGCTTCCAGCCTAGTGTGGACACAGACAGCACCCTTTAACAGGTAACGGTGCAGTTGTGTTTGTGATCAGCGCTTCTGAAGAACCTGGGGAGTGAGGGGGCCCCGTGTTGTCCTGGCCCACCATGCAGGGCTCTGCTCTGCTGGATCTAGTGCAGCGGAGGAGACCTTTGTCTCTGAGTCCCCTCATCCCGCCCTCTCCACCAGCACTGCGGATTGGGTAGAACCCAGAGCAAGGGTGGGACCTGGGAGGCCAGCTGACTCAGAACCTCAGACTGTGGGTGGGTGGGGAGCATACTCCTGGCCCAAGTCCCACAGGAAGGGCCAAGTCCCCTGTGTTTAGAGAGGATCTAGCTAGCGGCCTCACATATCACCAGTTTTTATTCACAGGGACAAATGAGACCCCCAAATGGCAGGCACAGCTAAGGGGCTGTCGGGAGGGATTTCAGTATTTGTTAGTGGAAGGGTCACCTCTAGGATGGGAACAGGCTCATCTTAAATGCCCCAGCTTCACATTCTTCTTTGCCTTGTTCCTCAGCCGGGGTCTGCTGTTATGAGCTCTGACTGGAGATTGAGGGGAACCAGAATGTTCCTCTGTGGAGACCCACCGTAGTGGGGAGGTGGAGTTTATCAAAGAGCCCATAAAGAGGAACAGAGCAGTTGTGAGACGGATTCCCTACAAGCGGAGCCTGAGGCAGGGATTCGGTGCCTGTGATGTATTGAG